CATGTGTCCTTCAGATCCACACTTAAAGCAAGTGAGTGGGAGCTTCCTCTCTACTTCTTGCCTGTCTGTGGCTCTTGTCTGTGACACTGTCTACTGAAGTGGCCCAGCTTTCCACAGTGGAAACAATTCTGAGCTCCTTTATTACCTTTGGGTGGCACTGTTTATGAATAAAACTTCCTTTTCCTGACACAGACCCTAAACTGGCAGCAATAGCTACCCCAATAATTTTGGCCATTCTCTGGTCTTTTCTCTTCCCTCTAGATCCCACTTGTTAAAAGAGGGAAAAATTTAAACAAATACATAACAAATAATTTTGAACAATATGATCTTTTAAGTTTAAGGCTAGAATATTAACAATATGATCATTTCCAATCCAGAGATACATGTTCCAATGCAGTTTCTATTCTCCATAAATGGTTTTGGTAAGAAGAATATTGTAAATGTGGATACAGTTCCACTGTTCCTCCTCCATGCCATAATATAGTGTTATTAGCATGAGCGGTTATAAATCCATTGCCTTCCTTAGTCTAACTTAATTTTTTTAAATTTAAATTTATTATTGTTGTTGTTGTTGTTATGTGCCGTCGAGTCGCCTGCGACTCATAAACTGTGTACATTTATTATTAATTTCAGTAAAAATTTACAGAGACTTTGGATTTCCATTCATTCATTGTTGCACATTTCTTCCCTCCCAAGCCTCCTCCCCAGAACACTACCCTCTTGGAAAAGTAAAAGAAAAATTCTTTCATAGTTTTACAAACCCTCCCCCAGGTCCACTCCGCCATGTAGCCTTCACTTTAGACTCCTGTCATGACAAAAATACCTAATCACGTATCTCTTTTAAACAGTTTTCTCCCTCATCTTTTTCAATGCAGTATACATTATTGAACCCATCTTTCTCAATCTCTCCCCAACCCCAAGGTCAGTCCTCTTTTACAACAGTGGCATCATGTAGTATTTGTCCTTTTGTGACTGGGATATTTCACTCAGCATAATGTTCTCCAGGGTCACCCATTTTGAATAATATTGCATGAGTTCCTTGTTTTTTAATGCAGCATAGTATTCCATTGTGTGAATATACCACAGCTTCTCTATCCATGCGTTTGTTGATGGGCACTTAGGTTGTTTCCAACTCCTTGCTATTGTGAACAAAGCCATAATAAACATGGGTGTGCATATATCTGCTTGGATGTCAGCTATGGTCTCTTTGGGGTGTATTCCCAGTAGTGGAATTGCTGGGTCAAATGATAACTCTATTTTCAACTTTTTTCAGAAAGTGCCACACCACTTTCCACAGTGGTTGCACCATTTTACACTCCCACCAACAGTGAATAAGTGTTCCAGTTTCTCCACAACCTCGCCAGCATTTGTTGCTTGCTGTTCTGTTAAATTTTGCAATTCTGACTGTGGTGAAATGATATCTCATCGTTGTTTTAATTTCCATTTCTCTTAGCGCTAGGGACTTTGAGCATTTCTTCATGTGCTTGTTAGCCACCTGAATGTCGTCTTTGGTGAAGTACCTGTTCATATCCTGTGCCCATTTTTCAATTAGATTATTAACCTCTATCTTGTTGTGGTGCTCACATATTTGATATATTCTGGATATAAGTCCCTTATTGATATTTTATTACCAAATACTTTTTCCCAGTTGATGGCTTCCCTTTTCACCCTGTTGGAGAAGTTTTTGGATGTGCATGGGGATTTGATTCTTAGAAGAGGTCGGTCACCAGGTTCTTCCATGTCCCCACAGTGATGCTTCCACATGTTGACTATCTCTTATCTGCTGCCCACTCTCTTAGACCATTCTGTTACTTCAAAAAGGAGATGAAAGGAGTCAGGTGAGACTGTTGACTGTGATGTGGCCACATTTGCTGTTCTCACTTATTCTCTGATTGCCGCTGGATTGGAACTGACTCATTGCTGACCCTCTAGTGATTTTCAGAGGTTCTCTCAATTTTCCAAAGTCTTTTCCCACTTTAGGCCTTTATATTTGCTATTTTATACCACCAAAGCAGTAATGCCTTCGTCATACTCCCCTTTATTAGCCTTTAGCTCGCACCTCAGAGAAATCTGTCACTTTACCGACATTACATCCCCTCCCATGTAGCATCCTTTATTTGAGCAGCTTGCTTATCTGATCCTGGCATTCATCAGTAATAACTCTTGACTTGTTTATTTCACCTAGATTAGAGGTTGTAAGTACAGTTTCTAAAACCTGAAGGCTCAGGTCCAAATCATGAATTATATACTTTCCTCATGTGTTTTGTGACTGTGGTCTTAACCCTTTTTTCCTCTGAAATGGAGACAGTAGTAAGTACAAAGGCTTATGATATGGATTAAATGAATGAATAACAGGTATAGTGCATAGAGCAATGCCTAGCAAATACTCTGTGAACTCAGGGAATTTTAACTATTACTTGCTGTTGTACTTCTTTTCTCACTGTGTTGTAGGGACACAGACACTATGTACCTTTTTATATCCAGCACTTGACAATAGTTGTTGTTTTGTACCATAAAGCTAGAACTGACCCTCAAGCAGGTTTTCAGAGACAGTTAATCACATGGGAGGATAGTGTCCATCTTCCTCCTGTGGAGCTGCTGGTGGCCGTGAACCTTGTCTTTTCAGGATTGCAGCCCAACTTCTTGCCGCTAAGGCCACCAGAGCTCCAGTGGATCCTCAGAATCTTGAATATGCTGAAGAATGAGTGAAAGTTATCTTAGTGTAGAAGAGCAGGTGGAAGGAAACTGGACTAGGAGGTTGGGGGGCCCATGCAGACCTGGGAACATGGGAATAGACCGGATTTGGGGTTTGGCAGTGTTTCTTTGGATAATCTCTGAACTATGGGTGTCATCTCTGAGCTTTGGGAAATTTGAGCAGTCCATTAAAGAAATAACCATGAATATAATAATAATAATAATGACCAGTTTATGAGGCTAAAGTAAAAAAGAGAACTAAAATACTAGATGGCCTACTGTTAAGGAGTTGTGCTACCAACCCCAAGATAGGAAGTTGGAATCTACCAGCTTCTCCAAGAAAGAAAGATGGGCAGGTTCCTTCTGTGTGCTTTAAAGCCTTTGAAAACCTGCTGGAGGGTCAGCTATGAGTCACTTGCAGGTTGATGGCATGTAATAACAGTATTTTATAAGGCAGGAGGGGACTAGTTTGTTTTAGTCTATTCTAAGAACATACTTATGTAGCTATGGTGAGATATATAAATATTAAGGCTTTATAATATGTATATAGTAAAAAGCTCAGATTGAACCAATGAAATGGCAGGAATTACATTTGCACCTTTGAAACAAGTTAGGGAAAACATGGAGTTAGAAAACAAACAAAAAATTCAGACCATTCAACCAAGAAGAAAAAGGGCGGGGAGAGTTCATAGACAGATCAAGACGAAAAGAAAGCAAAAGAGAACTGTGTTCAAACACAAGGAAACCTACCCAAATGTCCCCTGCAGTGGTGTTGATGCTGTTGTAATTTGAGGCTCCGTTTTTTGTCTAATTAAAACTATCTGACAAGAACATAAAATACTTGCCTGTCTTTCCCAACAATCTGTACTAAAGAATGAAGATATTTTTTAAAAATGAAGAATATTTTGTTGTAAAAAAGCAAATATTTTGTAAAATAGCCAACAATGTTAGTGTTTTAAATTAGTTTCATTTTATTCTTTAATCAGAGTGCTTGTGTTTTTCAGCATAGATGTTGATGGGACAATGACCGTGGACTGGGATGAATGGAGGAACCACTTCTTATTTAACCCTGCTGCAGACATTGAGGAAATAATCCGCTTCTGGAAGCATTCTACTGTAAGTGTGTGTTACGTGTTTGTTTATACTTGCAGATATAAACCATAGGTACCGTCTTCATTCAAAAGAACTTGTCTAAAGAGGGGGAAATGGTTTATTGAGGCACAAGGCCGGGAGTGTCTGTCTGAAAGAGTCAGAGGGAGTAAGAATAGCACAGCCCTTCACTGCCCCAGAGTAGAAAGCAGATAAAGGCCCCATGGTGCCTCTAAAGCCAGACTAACAGCAAGAGGTTTATTTATTTATTGCTGACTCAGACTCAGTTATGGTACTGGCAATGGATTTTATTAGGGAGGAAGTTGGAGAGTGGAGGAGACAAATAACATCATTCAAAACAAGTCCAGGTTTTAGCCCAAGTTCCAAGGCACAATTCCTCAATAAGTCTCCAGTCTGTGGTTTTGGTTCAACAGTCAAATAAAAATTATCCAGCAACGTTTGCCTCAGAGCAGTTATAAGTGAGTTCTCCTTCAAACATCCAGCAAGAAGAGCCTAACCTTTAACTGTGGCCAGAACAAATGCAAGCCACCTCAAATCACATCTTGCCATCATTTGTACACAGAAGTGCCACAGTCTCCCCACCACCAAGGTCTCACTCTCACCAGGGTCTCATTGCTACAAGTCCTGCTCAAGTCTTTAAGTCTTGCTGCCCAGTGTGGGAAGCATTCTTTCACTTACCCTAGTCACAATTCAGCTGATGCTGATTTTCAAGATCATGTGGCTATAGTTAACGTAGCTAGAGACCAGAGGCTAAATGGCTAAAAACAGGCCAACTTTTAGGCTAACACAAAAAGCACCTATAATAACAAGACCATGAGGTGCTAGTATCTGTATCTCCTTAACTGTATATATCTATAATATCTTAAAAAAAATTCTCAACTCTGACATTCTTTCCAGATTCTCATATTTTTGACAAAGTCCTTCTTTAATGTTGTTGTTAGGTGCTGTCGAGTTGAGTACAACACATAGTGACTCTGTGAACAACAGCTCTGAACCTTGTCCTTTCCTGTGCTATTCTCAGCATCTCTGACACACTCAAACCCATTGTATCAATCCACCTGGTTGAAGGTCTTCCTCTGTGCCAACCCTCCACCTTTCTAAGTATGATGTGCCTTTCTCAGGAATAGCCTTTGGAAGTGTATCTATATTTAAGCAACTGTTCTGCTTCTACCTGAAAGGTTGGTCATTCCAAATGTAGACCCTCTCTGGGAGAAAGATGAGGCATCCTATCAAGAGTACAGTCTTGGAAATGCTCTGGGACAGTTCTGCTCCATCCTGCAGTGTCAGAACTCAATAGCAGGAGATGTGTTGGTTGTTTTGCTTTTGGGAAATGAAAGAAAAAGACTTTTATCTTTTACAGTACTGCCTAGGTAATCTCAGTGCCCCAACTGCCAGGATGATCTCTCTGAAGTTTTCCTTCTGTAATCAGAATGCCTAGATTTATCTCAGGCATAAGGAAAATACTTAAAGTCATTGAAGGTTAAAATAATTATCTTTCTGGCTCATCTTAGAAGTATTTTAAACCTGCTGGTATTTAAAAAGCCTTGAATTTTTTATCAAATTCCATTGATATTCTAATAAAAGTTCTATATATTGTGCACCCCGCTCCTGAAACCAATGGGAATTCTCTCGTTTTTGTTTTGTTTTTCCCTTGATCTGCTTGTTGTCTTTATTCTTCATGGATTTCAGTAAATTTGATATATACAAAGACATTAAAAGAATCTCATTCTTTTAATGAAAGCCTAGAATTCACATTGCCGCTGGTAACAATGCCTAGTCCTACACAGAACATTGTAAATTATTAGTCATGAATGTGTTTTCAAATACGAGTATAAAATAACGTTGCTATTAATAATTATGTTAGTAGTCAGTTGCCTAGGTAAATTTTGTACATTTGTAAAGGTATAATTATGTGCTCATATTTTCTTAATGTTTTTGGGGCTAGTGGAAAACATTTAAGGTTAAAAATCACATGCCCATTTTATTAACGGTAAAAGGAAAGAAGATGACTTTCAAACATTGCTTCTTACCTTTATATTCTTACCTATATAAAATTTTATAAACCTAACTATTTTATTATTGAAATTATATCAGTGTAAGTATATTCTATTTTGTCATTGAAATTATATCAATGTAGTTATAATTGAAATAATAAAATACTAAGAATATTACCATAAAATTGTATTTACTTTCAAGGTGTGTTTGCAGTCTCTAATAATATTTAGGATCAATTTGGGAGATGATTTAAAATTATCCCTCCCTGTTAGCCAGTTATATAAATCTGTATTTTTGAAGTTATAGGTCAAATTTATATATAAAAAAAATCCATGGAAAGTCTGCATAAAAATAAGTTTCAGTTGCTTTAAGTGCATTTTATATATTTAATATATACTGTACAGTAAAATACAATGTAGGTGAAATTTTAAAGGAAGTTTATGAAATATTTCCAAACTTGTTTTCAGATAATGTTATTGTCAGAACAATTTCCTCCATTTTGAAATGTGGCAATGAAGTTACAATTCTTGGTCTTTTAATTTTGTAATTACTGTTAATTTTAATTTCTTGTGGTTTAGCTGGTTTTGTGTGAGTAGGCTGCATGCTCAAATGGGCTCGGTGTATTTATTAAGAAACAAAACTGATCTTAAGTGGAAAAGATGATTCCTCACTAAGACAAAGCACTTCTGGGGTAATCTCTTATATTTTAATTTGCATACATAGTTGTAGAAAAAAGTGTTTTGGAGTGTTTTTGTTTTGTTTAATGTAATTTGAGTGCAGCTTTACAAACCACATAGGTTTTTCATGCAATCATCGTAGGTATTTTTGGATGTTCTAGACTTAATAGAGGAGCATGAGGTTCTTCTTTCTGTTTTAACAGGGAATTGACATAGGGGATAGTTTGACTATTCCAGATGAATTCACGAAAGAAGAGAAGCTGTCTGGACAGTGGTGGAGGCAGCTCTTGGCCGGAGGTGTTGCAGGTGCTGTCTCTCGAACGAGCACCGCCCCTTTGGATCGTCTGAAAGTCATGATGCAGGTGAGTTATGGGATCCTGTGTCTAAGTGTTCTAGAACAATTAAAAAGTGCTTATCAAAGGAGTTTAAAATGTCTTTAAAATCCCTACTTTGTTACTGATACCTCCAAATTTAGCTTAGGAAGATATTTCTCAAACTTTCTGACATACTTGTATTAACATTTTAAAGTTTTAACCTTTGGCATTCTGTGACAGTTCAGATATTTATTTTTTTTTTTTAAAAAAGGTCTCCAATGGTTGTTACAGGATTATTCTTAAATTATCTGTATTTTCTTCTACGTTATGTACCTATATTCCTGAATTCTAGAACCCTGGTACAGGGATATAATTTTTAAAATTTACTTTAAAGTTGAGTTTAGCAGCAAAAAACCCCCTGGATTTGTAGGTTAAAGTGGCTGTTTATTAGGAGTGTAAAATTGGCCCAGTCTGAGAGGAGAGCAAGAGGAAAGGGATTTGAATATTTACTTAGTGCTCATATGGCATGCCCTCTCTCCTACAGCCCAGTGAGATGGGTATTTCACTCATTTTACCCCTGAGTAATCTGAGAATTAAGGTAACTTTTCCCTTACAAAGAATTTAAAGAATGGGCTGGCTTTGGCTTCTAAGACTGGTTCTTCATGACTTAAAATCCTTGAGATTTAATTTTCCTTCATTCTGTAAGAGGCATAAGAATGTCTAAAAAGGATGAATGTAAGAATTTTGCTGTATAAGGTTTATTAAAATATCTGATCTATTGGAACTATTAAAATATAATAGTTACTTAAAATATTGTTTAAAAGTTGTTTATTGTCAACACTTTTAATATTTGTCTTTTGATGTCTGTGTGAAAAGATTTATGGCAGATAATGCTTTAAATTAGAATCCATTAAAAATGTGCCCAAATTAAAAAAATGTATTTAGGAGCAGAGATAATACTTTAAGTAGAAAAAGGAGAGAATTTTTTTATGAGCTTTTTCTCTTTAGAAGTAATGATTAACTTTGAGAGAAATCAAATAAGTATTTATTTTCTATTTTCTTACATTTAAATATAATGGATTTTTTTCCTAGACTTTAGTTTTCTTGTGAATTAAGAGCATAGAATTAACTCACTGATCCTCAAGTTTAATGTTGCATTTTTAAATTTTTTTAAATTAATTTCAACGAAAACTTACAGATAATTTGGATTTCCATTCATTCATTATTGCACTTTTCTCCTCTCCCAACCCTACCTACCCCACCCCCACCCCTGTTCCCCAGTACATTCCCCTCTTGGAAGAGTAAAAGAAAAATTCTTGTATTACAATCGCTCCCCCCAGGTCCACTCCACTTATGCAGCCTTCACTCTGGGCTCCCGCCATGACAAAAATACCTAATCGCATATCCCTTTTAAACAGTTTTCTCCCTCATCTGTTTCAGTGCAGCATACATTATTGAACCCATCTTTCTCAGTCTTCTCCTAACCCCGAGGTCAGTCCTGTTTTACAACAGCGACACCATGCAGTATTTGTCCTTTTGTGACTGAGATACTTCACTCAGCATAATGTCCTCCAGGGTCACCCATTTTGAATAATACTGCATGAGTTCCTTGTTTTTCAGTACCATAGTACTCCATAGTGTGACTATATCACAGCTTCACTATCCATTCATTTGTTGATGGGTAATGTCAATAAAACTGAGGCTAATAGTGATTCAAATATTCTTTCATTAAAAAAAAGGCTGTATTCTAGAAGCAGTGTGGACTTGCTTGGAATTTAGGAAAGTATAATTAGTCCTTTCTTCAGTGAATATTGTAGTCATGTTTGCACAAATGAAAAATGGACAGCTATAAGGAATTATCTGTATTTCCTGAAAGGGAAGGCAATGAAAGAATAAATACGTTGGCTAAAGATTGCTGATGTCACTGAAGTACTGCATAGGATTTTTTTAAATGCATCAGAACAAAGGTATATGTTATAGAAATGAATCCTAAGACCTTGTATCTGTATTTTATTCTTCTGTGTATTATATGGGCTCGGGTGTCCTCGCCCTTAGGGAGTTGCATCCAGAGATGAGTGGTCCAAGTCCACCAGCTGCTCCACAGGAAAATGATGGGCAGTCTCTTGTGCCATTTATACCTTCTGAAAAGCCAGTGGAAGGTTAGCTGTGCGTTGGTTCTGACTCAGTGGCAATGAGCTTTAAAAAAATATGGAATAAATTTTATGCAAATCAAGACAACTAACTATGAGATATCATCTCATCCCAGTAAGAATAGCAAAATTTAACAGAACAGCAAGCAACAAATGCTGGCAAGATTGTGGAGAGACTGGAACCCTTATTCACTGTTGGTGGGAGTGTAAAATGGTGCAACCACTGTGGAAAGTGGTGTGGCGCTTTCTCAAAAAGTTGCAAATAGAGAAACCATTTGACCCAGCAATTCCACTACTGGGAATACACCCCAAAGAGACTATAACTGACATCCAAGCAGATATATGCACACCCATGTTTATCGTGGCTTTACTTACAATAGCAAGGAGTTGGAAACAACCTAAGTGCCCATCAACAAACGAATGAATAGAGAAGCTGTGGTATATTCACACAATGGAATACTACGCTGCATTGAAAAACAAGGAACTCATGCAATATTATTCAAAATGGGTGACCCTGGAGGACATTATGCTGAGTGAAGTATCTCAGTCACAAAAGGACAAATACTGTATGGTGCCACTGTTGTAGAATGAGGCTGACATCAGGTTCAGGGTAAGACTGAGAAAAACTGGATAAATTATGTATACTGCATTGAAGCTGATGAGGGAGAGAACAGTTTAAAAGTAATATATTTTAGGGCATAATGATTATCATAAGAGTCCGGAATGAAGGTTGCAGAGTGGAGTGTACTCGGGGTGGGGGTGGGGGTAGGGGTGTGCCGGGGAATTGTATACCAGTGAAGGAGTTTTGCTTTTAAAGGAGAAGAATGAAATGGGGGTGGAGATGGGGTGGTCGGGGAGAGAAGTGCAACAATGAATGAATGGAAATTTTAAAAAAATTGAATGAATTTTATAGATAAATATAATTGTTTTGTTGTGTATGGTATAGTCAGAACCAACCCATAGCTTCAACAGATTTTCGGAGGCCCTTAATCACATGGGAGGAGATTGCTCATCCTTCTGAGCACAAGTGGAGCAGCTGGTGGCATAGATACGGTTTCTAAAGTATTTTTATTTGAAGATGTGTAGTAACAAAGCTTTTTGTGTGTGTGGTTGTGTTGATGTTGTGTACCTCTAGGAGATTTTCAGAGGCAGTAAATTATACAGGAGGAGATTTCCCATCTTTCCCTTGCTAAGCTGGTAGATTCAAACACTGTACTTTTGTTTGGCAAGACAATTCCTTACGACTAAGCCACCAGAGCTCTTGTTTGGTGGTAGTAATTAATTTATTTTTGTAAGCTGAATCAGTTACAAGAATATTTAATTTCTTTAGTTTTATTTCAGTTTCTTAGAATAAATCAGTTATATAAATTAACTAAATCATAAGCAACTCTAAGATTTAGTTAAATTTTAGAATGTAGTAGTGCAAGGAGTTGGAGTCGGAAAATCAAAAGGGCCGACGCGCTCAGCATATCGTAAGCTCAAGGAACTGAAGAACAAATTCAAACCTCAAGTTGCTATAATCAAGGATGCTTTCGGCAGAACGTTAAATGATCCCGGAA